GAAGGTATACATTTCATAAATTTTTCAAACTATCTTTACTAATAATGAAGAAAGTTAGGCTTAAGTTTTCGTTATTTAATCAGTCGAATTCAAACTTCAGACAACAAATACTATACAATGAGAAGATAAACTGAAATGTTCACTCGTTACGAGCACTAGGTATTACTTTTTCAATTGTTATTCAAACACACTGATATATATATATATATATATATATATGAACATGGTGGATCTGATGCAGATGTGAAGGCGTGGATCGGAAAAGCAAGAGTAGCATCTTCACAACTGAAGAACATCTCGGACTCTAAGCAACTGTCAACCAACACCAAGGTCAGAATTTTCAATACAAATGTCAAGACAGTTCTACTGTATGGGGCGGAAATCTGGGGAACTACGATAGTCATCATCCAGAAAATACAGGTGTTTATTAACAGTTGTCCGTTGGCCAGACACTATCAGAAACAACCAACTGTGGGAGAGAACAAACCAGATCCCTAAGGAGGAAGAAATCAGGAAGAAGCGATGGAGGTGGATAGGAACACACATTGAGGAAAGCACCCAACTGCGTCACAAGACAAGCCCTCACATGGAATCCTCAAGATCAAAGGAAAAGAGGAAGACCAAAGAACACATTACGCCGGGAAATGGAGATAGACATGAGAAAAATGAACAAAAATTGGATCGAACTGGAAAGGAAGTCCCAGGATAGATTGGGTTGGAAAATGCTGGTCGGTGGCCTATGCTCCATTGGGAGTAACAAGCGTTAGTATATATATATATATACTGAAAGAGAGTTACACAAGATTAACAGCACAATAGGTATGACTTTATTAATAATAATAAGTCATATAAAAATATAAAAAGATCTACAATTGATCTGTTTAGTATGCCAACTGTGAATTAATATTTATTAATACTATTATTATTATTAATATCAATATTATTGAAACACAATAATAAGGGAAGATGTAAACGAAAACTGAAATCCGTTTCTATACAAAAGAAGAAAGAAAAAGTCAAGGAATAAATAAATGCATGATTTAGTTAAAAATAAAATAGTGAAAATTATTTAACATGCATGATTATTAGTGTAATTAAAGTTACATATTGCCAAAATGAGTTTTTTTTAAAAACATTTTCATGTAAAGTTGTATTGTTCTAAGCCTAAAAGGATGATCCTAACTTTTGGACAAATGTATATATGTGTTCACATGTATACACGTAACTATTATACATATAAGTGTTGAGTTATGTTTTTGAGTAGATATATTTACCATCATCTCTTATGACTTTGCATCACTCATTGTCTGTTTGCATAAAAGAATGTTGGAAATCAATTCTTTCAACTTCATTTGTATTTGGTTTTATATTATCTCTGTCAACCAAACGATGTTAGTTTACGTAAGATATGCGAAATCAAGCTGAGAATTTATATTCATGTTACTTTTCTCATCAGTTCCTTCATCATTTATAATAGATTGAGGCAATAGACATTTAGGGTGCAGGTATACTAGTATTAAGCACCTTTCCCAGATAAATTTGCCAAGTAAAAACACCACAAAAAAACTGCAACTTAATAGTTAGGAAAAATAAACATTGACAATAATGATGGACGACTAATTCTAATGAGATAATGAAAATAAATTTAATGTTCCTAACTCTCAAACGTTAGTTTGCCAATGATATTCACTATAAGTTAGAAGAGATTGATGAGTTTTACGGTTACTATTATTGATCGATCTTAGTTAAACAACCACTAAAAACCAGGAAGGACTGAACAACTGTTACTTTCTTGTTTGAAACTTCGAAACAGTGCTCATCCACTCCCTTGCTCCGAGAGGGTCTCATTTAAGACTTCCAAGTAGCGAGCAATAGAACTGTAGACCACTGACCCGGCATCTAATAGATTACATATCTAACTTCAATCAGTTCACAATAATGCGCAGTCACCCGATTGATGGGTAACTGCCTCGTATTCAGTATAGCTAAACCTTACTGGTCATTAGAATTCTGAGGATTAACTCTCAAAATCAGTCAAGAATTGGTTAAAATTATACGTGTCAACTCCGTAATTCAACAGTTAGGAGTTCATTATGAAAGTTTTGAATTCAATCAGCAGAGGAGTCGTAGATTTGCAGTGTTAAGAAGTTTCATACAAGAATGAAACAGATATCCAGTACTTCTTGGTTTCAAAGGTTGTTTGACTAAAATTAGTCCGTGCTGTAAACCATGTAATAATATTCAACAATTAAAATTTAATTGTCAGTCGGATTTTATTAGTTAGAGACTAAATGGATGAACAAGAAGTCAAAAAGTTATTGATTCCAGTTAATTAGAACTAAAAATTAAAATTTTTAACATAATCATACTAGTAGTATGCATTAACATAGAAACAAATTAATTTATTTACACTTATTTACAATTAATGAATTCAAATGTTAATTAAAAAGAACAAAATTTCCAAATACAAAAGTATTATTACTACTTAACTGGAAATCTACTACTTAAAACAAAAAGTTCACTTAATAATATTAGTTTAGTACATAGAAATCACACTGAATTACTTTACAAGTAGTTTCTCAAGTACCTGAAGAAAAAAAACTTGCCACAATCTATTCGTGAAAATGAAACTCACTACCATCGTTTGTACAAAAAATATATAGGTCATATCAAATACTTCTTTGGAAATCCTAACAAAAACGATTATATATCATTCCACTAGGAACTTTAAATGTTTGCTCACTGTCAGTATTGAGAACAATCATTAAATTTTGCATCATAGAGACACTATATCTCTTGATGTCTACACTATTCCTGATTAATCTCAAACCTTATTCTATTTGTCACTGTAAGAATGTACTGTAGTGTCAGTTATTATTTTAAGCCCATATATCTTATTCTGGATTTCGGACAGGCCCATCTATTCATTCTACTTGAGTCATATGTTGACCATGTTAGTTATTCGCTTACCAGTCTTCATTGTTTTTATATGAGCGTATATGTGTATACACTTCTTATCCCATGTCTGTAGCTTATTTTGTCTGCCTATAAATATTGATTAACGCCTGACTAAAAATGAGTTGGCTTCCCGGCCATCTCCACTGCGCATCATTTCCACTTGGCTTCACCATGTGCTTGCTTGCTGTACACTTCTGGATTTTCATTAATCATTAACAATAAATTATCTCTACAACGGGTGTTCAGGCTTTTGAATAATCTCGCGTAAAATCCATAATTCTACCAGGAGATTTAGCCTCCATTAAATACTTAGTTAACGAGATATTGTTTATTGGAGTCAGATATTGAGGACATTAGCCTCAACATATTGGTTAGCCGCCGTTTCAACAGTACACAGTTTATTAGTTTAAATAAAATTTAAACAAGTAGACCATGAAACAATCGTCTAAATATATTGTGATATACCTATCACAGTAAACTTTTTGTTTCTTGATCTGTGTTATTTTTTTCTGTAGTTGTATTTGAACATAATTACCCTGTAACGGGATAGAAATTCCCTTTTGCAGCAAGTTTCACTTTGAAGCATGAAGTAAAAGTCCATCTACTAAGAAAATATTGGTTCTCAACAACTGTATACTATGAAACATCTATCATTCCAAAATGTTCATAATGTTGTAACTACCAATATCATAGTGTGCTTATATTCTTGTTATATTGCACACTAGAGATAACTTTGTTTTCACAAGACTGATGACTATTACAGTGTTTTGTTGTGATAAAAATGGTGTGCTATAAAATGTTACAACCTATAATTAAATATTTAACTTGGATAACATACTTCATGTGAATAAAGTCTTTGTGCAAAAATGTTTAACCCAAAGTATGCATCAATCATATCTTTTGAAATCTTTTGCCATTTTCTACATGTTACATTCCTATTTTCATCAATATGTCTTTAAAGTGGTGTGCATTCTGTAATTGTTTTCAGAATATAATTAAAACGATTTGTTGATACATAAAAAAGACATGTTTACAGGTAATACCATTGTTAACATAAATTTCTTCAATACAATATTTCTTGTATAAGTTTAGCATGATATTAGTCCAATGTGATATTTAGTGTTCAATTTGTATAGTTCAAGATGAAAGATTCATTTATATTAAAACTATTTCAGTCATGTATGACATTTGTTGATCTAATCTCCAGTAAAATCTGTACATAAGTAAAAATATTTGGTTAGTAAGTATTTATCGTCAGGTATTTGAAGGGTGAATAAAATTTTCATCCGACATCCATCTTCGATTGCTTCATAACATGGTGCAAACCTCTGTTGTTTCCTAATTCAAGAACCATTTTCCGTGATTAAGCGAATTTACAGTAACATCAGCATAACAAAAGGAATAAACCAAAGAGATTAAAAGTGGGATTGATAAACATCTAGATTAGATCATAAAGTTTGAAGTGAGAAAACGAAATCATAGAATGAAAAATATGAAATGATACATAACATCAAGTGTGTTCCCCTATGGAATCAAATCACTCAGACTAATAAAGACACTACAATTCCATTAGCACTGGAGATGAGGTCAGTCAGTCAGCTACAACGTAGGACCAGGCACATATATGCATCGGTCCAAGTTGCAACACCTCATTAGCACAACAAGATGAACATCAAATTTATAGAAGTAGTTAATCCAATGGTAGTAATATATAAAAGAACGATTGCGTATAAGGATATAATACAGGAAGAAAAAATTACTTCATATAAAAGTATAAAACAATTTTAATCTCACGGTTTAAGGGAAGACAAAGAGTGTATACACCAATGCCATTGTGATCAATTGTGAGCCATATCACCAAGAGTTTCTAGTCATTGGTTACGATAGTCACGCGGAGGTAACATTGTTTCGCTGACTATTCCGTAAGTAAATTGAACATATTTAACACACCATACAAACACTGTGGCATAAAAACCACTCTACTAATCATACTTATATAATATCAATTTGACAAACATTAAGGAGTCAGTTACTGTTATTACCTGAAGCAACGGTTGATGCTGAAATCCAATACTGTAATTTTTCCTCCAAATCTTTATGATTTAATAAGTACGGATTAATTCCTCGTAGTAAACAAAGCTAATAAAAACAAAGATCAACATAAAAAAACGTCAAATCACAATCATAAATAGACCCTTTAAGAGAATAATTTTACATTAATTTCCAAGAGAATCAGACATTATCAAGGCTCTTTACAGCCTGAACAATGCACTCCAATCCTATGGCGTAACCATAAAGATACCAAGAGCCATAATTAGAGGATCATAATGGGATTATTGGCAAAATAAATGTTTCTCCAGTTTATTAATGATATCGAAGTGTGATATTCTAACCAAACGTGTTACACACCTAAGATAAAAAGGTTGATGTCGTTAAAAATAGAACAAAACGATTAAACCATCTGTCTATGAGTCAGTAAACTAAAGTACATAAGTACTACAAACAATGAATAACTATTGCATACAAAGCATAAGTTAGTAATCCATTGGATTCGAGTCTTAAATTCAAGTCGTGGTGAGAATTTATAAGAGTACAACTAAATAATAAGTCAGAAGTAGTATAATACATTAATTCACTTACTTCCTTCTCGCTACGAGGGTATTGCTTACGAAATTGAAAGGATAAAATGCGAATGTCCAGTGTTTTAGCCGGGTTGGTGGATATGAAGGATCTATGAACGGGAGTCTGAAAACCCTGATTCCAAATCAATGGTGCACATGGGCTCCAGTATCCTGAGGGAACAAATGGTATGTGAACCTAATATTGATAACCGGCTACCATGGGACTGTATCTCCTAACGTTTCTCCACTGCCTTATAGACTAGACCTCTAGGTCAAAGGACCCAAATGTGGCCTAAAAAACCAGCTATTTCGTTTTCGGCTCCCAAGCAGTATCCCAGCTCACAAACTAATCGAATGATGAAGTGTGGCACATATATACTGCGTGCTTTTTTCTATCAATGTTCATGTGTTTAAATAACAGAATAAAAACATTCATTCAGAATCATCCAACTCATGAAATAAAATTAATTAAGGAAAATGTAACTAACACCAAAAATTGCAAAGCAATCTGTTTGAATATCTGGGCTACCTGTTCCTGTCATCCAGATATTTCAACAAGTTATCTGTTTCCTTATTTGTTTTAACAGATCATTATGTCAATTGATTGCATAACTTATTCAGGTGCATTTATGAAATGTTTACGACCTTTCGCTGTACAAGTTACAGAAACGTACAATCGGAGACATCCTGATGTCTGAGAATATCTCTTGAAAAGAATAAACATTCTTCAGATGTCGACTTCTGAAGTGCTGATATCTAACTATCGATCACTCAATATTTATCGAAAATATCGATCAAGAAATACTAAATGGAAACTCGCTGAAATACTTCGTGCTGAGAATTCTATATTATACAAAAAATTATAATATTGAATAAAGCCAAGAATAAGTAAAAATAAGTAGTACTTAAAAAAACGATTAAGAAATGTTTCAAAAAATTATTCACAACAGAAAACTAACATAAAAAATAAATTAGCGTGTTTTCTAACAAAATTCATTTCTAACTAAAGATTTACAAAGTACAATCTTAAAATTCACTAAGCATTGTTTTACTTGTATCTTCTCATTGTTATTTAAGACTGCAATTGATCAGTCTCATGTTGGCATATGTGAATCCTGTGTGGATTGCCTCGATAAAGCCTTAAGTCACAAGCATTTTAAACAAATATGGATAGTGGCGAGCAATAGAATCCAGTACGCGCGTTTTGTCCCATTTGGGACTCGTCAGCTGGATGTACTTGCATCCCAGAGTTGATGTTCAGATCCAGCTAACGAAACCTGAATGGGACGAAACGCGCGTCCTGGATTCCACTGTTAGCCATTATCCATCTTTGCCTACAATCTCCAACACCGAAACTTGAAAAGTTTGTATTCTGTTTTTTTTCCTTCAAGATATCAATGTTGATAGACATTTATCGACACAATGAAAAATCAGTCTACTTTTTAAAGATTAGTTTTCCAAATTAAAAGCTTAATGTATGAGGGGGTGTATTTTTTTACAGAAAACTTTTTTTACAAGATCCGAGCATTTTTGTATACGTTTATAAAGAACTAAGAGACAGTTAATAAAAACGATTGTTGTTTAAAGTGATTTAGATTGATATGAACTAATATGAAAAATTATTCTTTTAATACTTCAAGTATCAATTTTGTTTTAATGATCAATTAAAGTAGAATATTAAACTATAAAATTGTGCAATTGTATCTAATAACTGTTATCCATTTACAATAACCAATAGTAAATTTGCCTAGTTATGTATATTTCACTGGTTGAAATCATGAGTTAATTGAAGCTAGACCGGCTCAGTGGTCTAGTTGGTTAAGCGCTTGGCGCGAGACTGATAGGTCCTGGGTTCTAATCTCGTGGGGGGGGGGAGGAATCGTGGATGCGCACTGCTGAGGAGCCCCATACTAGGACGAAACGGTCGTCCAGTGCTTCCAGGTTTTCCATAGTGGTCTAGCTTCAATTGACTCATGATTTCAACCAGTAAAATTTCTAAAATCTCCACAAAACCCATTCTGATTATATATATTTGTTTACTTTTCTAGAAGAAATAATAACATCTTTTAAATGCTTACTTGTTTCAATTCAGAATTTTGTAAAATCGATAAAGAATTATCATTGAATAACTTATCTTTTTGCATACATTGATCTTCAACATATAAGAAATATGCATGTTTCTTTAATACAAGTATACGAGATGTTTTTAGAATGGATTTTCTCTTGAATAAATCACTCCATAATAATGTATTCATCATCCAAATATATGAATATATAGAGAGACCGTGTAATCGACATAAAGCCGCCTAAAAAAATAATAATAATAACCCTAATTAATCTGATATGAAAACAATTATTTATAAGGACACATTGAATTAATATTGTCAGGAAGCGATTAAGATAGAGGTCAACAGAGTAGGTTTATAGGAGACAGGATTGGTATTTCTATATATATTGTATGTTAAATTTCAGTCACTAAAATCCAAGTTTAAGTCAATCTTTAGGTACTTCAGTTTGGGCAACCTAATAGTATTATTACCCTTCAAAGTTATGGTGTGGTTCATAACTAAGTAATTAGTGAATGACTAAGCGTTTTTATACGGCTGTATTTTTGTCAATCATCTAGTGTTTATAGTTATAGATATCTCCTAATATCCTTTGGACTTAGTAAGATATAAGTCACTATGAGAGGAACAATTGTTATTTGTCAACTGCTCGTAATGTTTAGTGGAGTCTGTTTGTTTTAAATCGTATCAATTTACCTATATGTGTATAAATTCTTTTTTTTCAAAAGGAAACTTCTAAAGAAATTATTAGACAACCTGATATGAACTATAACAAGTGTAAATGAATTGTTAAAACCCAACAGGAAAAAAATGGGTAGGCATAAAAGACTCGACAAGTAAATCTTCATCAACACTAGAAAAATACATAGTTTACAATGGTAAAAACATAGTCCCTCATATATATATCGAGAGGTATCAGCTGAGCGGTGAAATTTTTGCCAATTAGATACACCTTAAATTATTTATTCTTTTTATTGAATGCATTTGCTCTAAAAATGTTTAGCTAACAATATCAGTATAAAAAGATATGATTTAGATTGAGTTATAAACATTTGAATACAATTCAAAGTGCTTCCCCTTATACTGACAAATAAAATTAGTGATAAGTCAAAGAGAGCATTGAATAGTTGTTGTAACCTATACGGAAACTCACAAATAATATTACACATTGATCACATTCTTCATAATTACACAAAGGTCCATATAATTTTATGTTTTAAAATATTCGGCGTGAACTTCAGCTTGGGTCAGTTCGAAACATTTTTTTTACAAACTCATGATGCAATACAATATTCACTTAGCATATATAAAGGCAATTAGTAAGATATTGAAATTACAATTAGTGTTTCTTCAGATTTACAAAACAAATCGGATATCTATTTGAATAGTCTCTAACTATATGATGTAAAACATGATACACTGAAATAAGAATTCACTGATCTGGTATTAGTGTAATGAATACTGTTCATAAGTTTACTTATAATTAGTATATACAGGAATGTCGCGTAGAAGTTACTACAGTCGATTCTCAAAGAGAAGAATCCCAGTAGGTCAAAAAACGCGGCGTATGTTAGAAGATATGTTAGAAGATAGAAGAGAAGCAGTAGAAGACAGTCTAGGATCAACTTGGATTGCAGAACACGCAAAAACCATACAAATAAATGACTCAAGATTCAGTATACCTACTGTGTAAACATTCTGTTTTTCTGTTCCCTGGTGCAATCTCTTATATAATGTCCAACCTCAACGCACTCAAAGCACCTACCATTCCTACCCACGTGGCGAAGACTTACGCTAACTGACAAAAGTCAACTCAACAATGTTCAAGAAATTCAGTCTTACAAAACAATTCTGAATGATAATAATTTGATATTCAATCTAGCTGCAAGATATTTTAATAAATTAAAATTCAAATGTATTGATCACTCCTTAGTAATTATTATTTTTTTAATAGTTGAATTCATGAGTCAATGTAAGCTAGATCATCATAGAAAACCTGAAAGCACGGGACGGTCGTTTCGTCCCACTATGGGACTCCTCAACAATACATATCCAACTATTAAAATTACTACAATCTCCACAAACCCCACTCTGATCAATAATTTAAAAAAAAAATATTTCACCATGAAATTAATATACCTAACAACAGACTAAAATATAGTGAACAAATAAATAAATAAATAATTTTATACCAAATAAATAATTGAAAGGTTAAATGAATTTAACTATAATATTATCAAATAAATAAACTTATTGAGATTAGATGGTGGTTGGAGGTAGTCGACAGGAAACTTTGGACCCGGGTTTCGTGCTACTTGGCACTCGTCAGCAAGGTGCATATGTAGTCTTGAGGGAACTGGTGCTCCCTGACGGATTCGATTTCGTGTCACCCAGCTTCACAGTCAGAGACGTTACCACTGAGCTATCCGAGCCGCGACCGACCTCCTGTAGGACTGAGATGTAATCACAATTGATTGATCACTGGGTGGTGATCAATGTCATGCGTGTCCAGTCCTTATTAGTGCAGATCGAATGCTATCGATCATGTTGCAATGCACCAGTTCCCTCAAGATTACAGGTACACCTTGCTGACGAGTGCCAAGTGGCACGAAACCCGGGTCCAGGGTTGCCTGTCGACTACCTCCAACCACCATCTAATCTCAATATATAGTGCCCGCATTGTCGAGTCACCTAGACTGGTGGCCATATTGCAACATGATCGATAGCATTCGATCTGCATTAATAAGGAATAGGCACGCATGACATCGATTGCCACCCAGTGGTCAATCAATTGTGAAATAAACTTATGTCAGTACAATACAGGAAATCAAACTTATACACATAGATAATGATTTTAAAAAAGGTCTTTATTATGTTAACATGAATTAATTCATTTATAAAATAGGATTGTATAAGGTCAATATGATAAATTGTTGATCCCTAGGTTAATTACATGCTCTCAAGTGTTATTACCACATATAAATATCAACGAATATAGTTTTATGTTTATCAATGTTTTAATTTAGAAAATTTTTTTCATATTATATTCAATGTAAATCTGTAAGACAGGATATATAAAACGACTATTTAAAGTAATTACTTTTATTTAATATATTTTGATAATTATTAAAGTTTATTGTGGTTACTATTAATATTAATATCGATATTATTATTATTATTATAAAGAGAATAATTTCATATCAACCACAATTGGATACTGTAGTTGTAGTGTGGGTTACTTATATTCATATCAGTAGTATATAACGGTGGTCAGGCATGGAATGTATTTCAGTAGAAGATCGATAAAGAAAGAACGAAAACGGAACGCAATTGACATGAAAAGGCCTGAACAATGAAATCTGAGACAATGGATTGATATTTGCGAAAGGAACAATGAAGTTTGAGATGATGGATTGATATTTCGTAAATTAAGGATTTACTATATGGTTCTCAGATTTTATTGAGATGTTCTATAATTTTGTGTCTAATACATTCGATTATCTACACTCATCTTCTTGTTCACCACTAAATAACTATATATGAAGTATAGTTTGTTGAAATTAGGTAATTTATTAAAGTCACACGACAACTTATCATAAATAAAGCAGTTTTATAGTTTATATTTAATAAAAACTATAATTAATTTTTTTTAAGGAATATGCAATATGACTGGTATATACATACATGCATATACTAGTTAGTGGACAAAATGTCGATTGGTAACTAAAGATAAACTTTATTGGCAATTCGATTAGGAACAGCTTCTTTAAATCACCTATTTATTTATTTATTTGTGAAGATCAATGTTTATAATTTTTGTCATCCTTAAATGAAAAACAGATATTCTACTTGATATGACGGGATGATATTTATTTATTTAATTATCATAAACATTGGTTCAAAGAAGCACCAAATATAATATACGACATACTTCATCATTTGGTTTGCGTGTGGGTTAGAATATGGTTCGGGAGCAGAAGTGGGTAGTTTTTTTTAAGTGAACAATTCCCCAATCTTTTGGTCTAGAGGTCTAATTCATAAGGCAGTAGAGAAACGTAAGGAGATGCAGTCCCATGGTAGTCAGTGATCAATAATAGGTTCACATATCATTTGTTCCCTCAGAATCCTGGAGCCCATGTGCACCATTGACTTGGAATTGAGATTTTTCAATTCCACTAGGTGGATCCTCCATATCCATCAACCCGGCTAAAACACTGGACATTTGCATTTTACCCTTTCAATTTCGTGAACAACATCCTCGCCGCAAGATGGTAATGAGCAAGATTTCCCTGACGTTGGTTGTATACTAGCTGAAACAGTTATTTTAAATAGCAGGTTGCTATGGATGTTGATGCAATAAACAGCTGTCAAGTGAATGTCATTCACTAAATGAATGCACTTTTTTGATACGTTTCTAATGATATATACTACCATAAAATCCACCAATTATTAAACTCCTCATAACCAACACAAGAGAATAAAGATTAGGAAATAAATTATCAAATAAAACCTAACTATTATAAGATAATATTAAAACTAGAAATTTGATATTCTCAGACTAATTTTTGGAAATAGTTAAGTGATTTCCATTTATCTAAAATGTAAAAAGATGGTTGTATACCGTGAGAACAAAATTATTTCTAACCATTGATTTCACTAAGTTGTTTTATTTTTAAAAAGAAGCTTTAACTTCAAAAATACATATTTACAAAGAAACGAAAATAAAATACAACTTTATAGATGTTGTAGTGAACAAAACACGGGTGGGGACAATCGAATGTATCTAACACAAAATTATAGGACTTGTTAATAAAATCTAACAATCATAAAGTAAATACTTAATTTGCAAAATGTCCATTAATTGTCTCAAAATGACTCAAACTTCATTGTTCTTGCATTTTCATACAAATCGCATCCTGTTTCCATTCTTCACTGTTCGATTCTCTTGTCTCTGCTGCCAGACCTTCTGTTCACGACTAACATCATATACTACTTATTTCTATAAGTAGCACACACCACAGTATCAATACCAAGGTTGGACTAGAGAGTTTTGAGGAGAAATTTGACAATAAATAAATTTTTTTATATCCTAATAAATAGAAAAATTGTATTTCTGATGTTTCACGACTTAATGTAAGTCGTTTCTTCGGAGTATATATCACAACATTGATAATGAATTAGCCATCAGAAAAATTATTATATAGATAATTAGGAAAAAATATACCGAACAAAGCGATTGGTTTAAATCATAGTACGTATTTAAATTTGTCATTTTAAAACACAAGATTATTGACTTGATGTTGTTTTACTTGTATCTTCTCATTGTTATTTAGGACTGCAATTGATCAGTCTCATGTTGGCATAGGCGCATCCTGTAAGGATTGCCTCGATATAGCTTTAAGTCACAAGCTTTCTAAGCAAAGATGGATAGTGGCTAGCAATGGAATCCAGGATGCACATCTCCTCCTATTTTGGACTCGTCAGTCGGATGTACCTGCATTTTAGCGTTGATGGTCACTCTGGAACCCGAACCCAGTACCGTAATCCTAGTACCCAGGACTCAGTAGCTAAATGGATAACGCGATGGCATTTGGAGCGAACGGTACTGTGTTCGAGTCCCAGAGTGAACATCAACTCGGGTTCAGGTACACCAAGCTGACGAGTCCCAAATAGGAGGAAATGCGCATCCTGGATTCCATTGCTAACCACTATCCATATTTGCACAAGTAAGATTATTATTTCAAAAATATTAGTGAGAAACGATGGGTTGATTTATTTATTTATTATTTTTACTTAAACACATAAACATTGGTACAAAAAGACACGCAATATATATGCGCCACATAAATCATCCAATTTGTGTGAGGGCTAGGAGTCTGCTCGGGTGCCCAGACCGAAGCAGGTGGTTCTCTTAGGGGGCCACAACAAAACTATTTTGATTTCATTTAATTATACTTAAAATTTATATCAAGTATTTCGAGAATGTTTTAGCAACATTCTATGTGTTCAGTTTTATTGATCGACTCAAGTTGTATATACAATGGATAAGGATAGTTTATATTGTGTATGAGTATTAATTTCATACCATTTATAAAAAACAACAAATGATAATACATTTAGTGAAATAAACTATTAGTGACTGAGAAACACCTGAACTATACTTTTGAGAATTGTGTACAAAATAGATATGATACTCTTAAATTATCATAAAAATAATGAATTGTATGAAGTTATTTAAATATGAAACACACTCTATGATCTTTTGATGATGGTTATTAATTAATAGCAAATAATTACAGTAATGTTATATTTGCCTAAATTTTATTGACTTGTTAGATGATTGCAGGTGACTTCTGACCCAGATAGCTCAGATGTAACGTATCAGATTGTGAAGCAGAATGATGCAAATTTGAACTTCACATGGAGCATTAGTTCTATCAAGATAATTAGATTCCGAGTTTCGTGTAGAAAATATCTTTAATCAACTAATATCTTAAAATAGTTCGTGAAATATCGAATAAATTAGATTAATAACGACGCTGAGATATGATCAGTAGAAATCATTCATCCTGACGTTAGTTACTGTCTTGTAATCAATCAAACGCTCTCTTTGCTTATATATGGAGAATTCAAACAAGTAAAACAAATAAAAACCAGTATGGAAAAATAACAGCAGAATTAAATGTACTTCTTGTCATCCGACTACTGAATCTAGAGCAAGTGACGATTATTACATATAAATCATAGTATCTACATGGATAAACATTGACTAATGAAACCTTTTTATGTTGAATTCAGTGTGAAAAGTGTATAATTAAAGCTGTTATAAAGTAAGAGAAATATGTATGACTAGTTGATCAGTTCGCTAATATCTAGGACTCTGAAATAAACTACACGTTAGAATCGGGTATACAACAGTAGAAAATTAGGAAACTTCGGAAGAATACTAGCTTTATTATAATAAATTCCATGGTAATATGTATTCTGTACGAAACCTTGCACTTTTTTTCATTATTTTGGAATTTATTACCGGTCATAATCCAAGTAGTATAATTTTCAATCACATTTTTTTTCAACGATCATAGTTAAAAAACATATAATGTCATCTATAAAAGATATAACAGTGATGGTGCGAAAAATGGCAGCAATATACGTTTCATTGGTAAGTATGACGTGTAGGGTGAAAAAGGATGGATCACTTGAAGTGAAAAGTCATAGATATTCTAGAGGTAAACAGCCAGTTTAAATATGAAATAAAATACAACAATAGTAATGAATACTATAGGGAGTCGGTTAAGATTATTGACTTTTTAAAGTTTACACCAAAGACGGATCTCAGGTAAATAACTGTCAAGATCTAGGAATCAGTAGACCGAACGAATGTGAAGCAGTTACTTATTAATGATATTGGAAAATGATTGCATAATGTCATGGATTGATTAAAATTAAACATGTAAATTATTGGATGCCGGCTCAGCAGTCCAAAGGTTAGGCCCTAACCGTAAAACCCGAGGATCTTAGTCTCAATCCCTGAGGTGTAGTGGATGTATATTCTCGAACAGTAGAAATAGTTATCTAAAACTTCCTGGTTTCCAATGGTTATTTAACTAAGATCAGTCCGTAATGAAAACTATAATAGTAAGCATATCTTTCTCACTAAATGCATGGTAAATGTATGAAACCAAACCACTAAACATTTTATTATTTTTGGTATGCCTCGATAAGCATAATTAATGGTAACTTTTGGGATCTATTTATGGACCAATACTATGAATATATTTTTATCGTATAGTTGTTATTTAACTAAACTATTCATATTCATCTCCCTCTTATTATAAGCTTTAGTTTGACCCATAAACTATTATTATACGATTTACCATTCTTCAATTGTAGCTAATTCTTGTACAAACTTTGTTTCATATTCTACAGTACGATATGGTATGTTTGATTGGTATATAAACCCAGTATGCTTGAAATAAATGATTTATATTTCAGAGGCTGAGATTGGTGTTCTGGACTTAATTGGCTGGGCTAGGCAAAAGGCAAGGCCAATAAGGATTCTAGACTGCTCTCATGGGTTTTATGTGTCGTTGGCCCGATCGATAATTCACTGCTTTCTAATTGGCGGTATCATTACATATACATTAGCATGGCACTCAGGCCACAAGTTATAACAATTTTTTTCTAAAAATAGATAAAAGTAGCAGTTATTACAAAGCAGAAATTCATAAAGGGTAGTAAAAGTTGGAATTTTCAGAGATATATATTCTTAAAAAACAATATTATTATTATTATAATCTTATTTTGGGTAAATACTATTGTCACATAAAACAGAATAACTCACTAAATGACTCGTATCCAATTGTTCTAAAGATAATGGACCTTTGAAAGCAGGTACTAAATCACGAATTTGTTCGATTGAAATTGGTTCTAATGTTGAAACCTTGAAAACAAAGACAAATATATATTTGGAAGGGTTTTGTGGATATTAATCAACACATGCTCAATAGTGACTGGCTTCAAGAGGTATTTGCTGAAGTTCTAGTGAGAAGTAGTGACCAGTGGAGTTCAACCAGGTCTGTTGTGAGATAGTAACTTACTGAAGACAACTGTGGATGTGTCGCTCAGTTTCGTGGATTAGTTGAAGTTAGACATTAACACCGTTGAATGCCGGCTCAGTGGTCCAGTGGTTAGGTGCTCGCACGCGAAACCGGTAAGTCATGGGTTCGAATCTCGCAGGTGGCGATGTCGTGGATGCGCACTGCTGAGGACGAAACGGACATCCAGTGCTTCCAGGTTTTCCATGGCGGTCTAGCTTCAACTGACTCATGATCTTAACCATTGAAATATATATTTGTTTTTCGAAAGAAAAAGAATAATATCAGAAAAAAATATGCTCATAAATAGAAACAAATATAAACTAACGAAGAATATAAATAAAACTGACTCAGAATTGGAAACAAATTATTTAATATACCCAGTTGTTGTTTATTTTTTCCAAACAACTATTTTGAGATATCTACTTAAACTAAAGTTAACGCACTCAGTTTTTATAGAAAATATAACCTGGTAGATTTATATAGTACCAAATAAATGATGAACAATAGTTTTTGTACAGATAGAAGATTAATTGTATTTTGTAAAATTTACAAAACGTTTAACTACAAATCTTATAACTTCAAACACATAGTTTTGTAGATATATATCAAATGTCTTATTCATTTTAAATCCTTGAAGTACAGTTAACAAATAGAATTTCTGACTTCTTGACCGTATATTTCCTCAATAAGTTTATGGAATGAAATTAAGTTTTCCTTGAATATATATTCAGTATGACATATAGTTTGTATTCGATAACAAAAAGAGTGAATAATATTCTTCTTTTTATCAGATGATCATTTCATAATGACATATTGTAAGTAAATTGTTGCATTTAGTAAAAATGATAACTATGAATGGATAGAAACTACTTGATACTTTTTCATTGCAATTTTAGACCAAACTCAGAACTTCAGATCTTGTGTTAAATAGTTTATATATTTACTATATATTTCTCAGAACCGAACAATTCGTAATATGGTATAATGATAAATTTGTTACATTAAATAGTCCTAGTACATCATTAAAAGGCTTAGATTTCAATGATAAGAAAACATATCAAACAAAAAATTACCTGAAGAATACATGGAAACTAAACATGAGCTTAAAATGTTTTAAAACTAAAACAGAGATATTAACAGTAATGTAAAGAATCTAGTTAACACAACTCAACATTTTAACATATTGAGGAAAACTTAACTTATTTTTTGCTTATTTAAGCTACATTGTTTAATTAGTTAGCTAAACTGACCAAGAATGCATAATTACCTTTATTCGAAATGACTCCTATGTTTAACTGCTAATAAGCAATTTATATCGAAAAAATAATCAATCACTATATATTTCCTTTAGTAATTTGGACGCTACTTTACTAGGGACTGATATCAGTTGATCATGGTGAAATGACTGACAAGCAACTTTTGAATTCTTATAAAATAGTACTTTGTTCTAATTTATGACCGGGATACATGGCCTTTGTAGGTTCATAGGCGGCCTGCTTGAATATCTGGGCTACCTGTTCCTCCGATCTAGATATTTCATCAAGTTATCTGTTTTGTTGTTTGTTTTAGCACATCATTATGTCTTATGTGCGCACAATTTATTCAGGCGCGTTTATGAAATGTTTACAACCTTTCGCTATACGTGATACAAAAAGGTACAATCAGCGACATCATGGTGGCTGGCAATATGCATTGAAACGAATGAACATTAATCAAATGTGGATTACCGAACTCCTAACATCTAACCGGTCATCATTCAAAATTTATCGTCACAATCGATCAAGGTATAAGAAAAGGAAACTTGTTGAAATACTTTATGCTGAGAATTCTATGTTGTACCAAAAATATAATGTTGAATAAAGCTTATAATAATAATAATAATAATAATAATAGTCCTGCTTCGGTCTGGGTACCCGGACAGTATCACAGCCCACACATAAATCAAATGAAATTTTGTGTGGCGCATATGTATTTGGTATCCTTTTGTACTAATATTTATGTGTTAAAATAAATAAGGTTACAACTATTTAATCATAGGCCCCTTTGAAGCATCGCTCGTGTATGTGATCAAGACTGCAATGGAAAGAAGCATACTATGCAAAAATGTTCAATTTATTGGTGACACAATAAATCTTTATCTAATGAAGTGGTTAAGGGATGAATTATGTATGCCAAATTACTGCCTACTGATGTAGGGTATGAGAATGTTGGCAGAACGTTTGGAGCGGTCAAACTAAATTGTGATATAAGTTTATAAAGTCATTAAATGTTAGTTTGTTACATAGGTAGGCAATGACCAGTCAGTTAAGGTCTAGGCTATCATTGTTACTAATAGTTGGAGATGTTGGATGACATCTCTCGGAATCGGTTTGAACGACATAATCTCAAGATAATGATACTTTTTATTCCATGTATTCATTCTTTGTTTTTGAATCATGTTGTCTACATCTAATCTTTCTCACTGCTACTGATATATATATATATATATATATATATATATATATATATATATATATATATATATATATATCGTTTACAATTGACTAAAAACTAAACTATAAAGTGTGAATATATAACCCAGTCTGAAGGAATATAAGCTTTCACTATACAAAAGAAAACATAACTAAATACACCAAATAAAATTCATCAGTTAAATTGTGAAAATACAAATATCAATCCGTTTAGTTGGATTCATTCTTCCATTCAATTAGTTAAATCATAACTTTTTTAGATAAATAAATAAATAAGGAAACAATATAAGTGAGTTTCAGACAAAACTCATCAATTTACATTAAGGTGAAAATGTGTTCAACTACATAGTCTCAAAGTTTTTTTTATTATTTATACATAACTTATTCTTATGTAATTTAGTCAACTGATACAATCAATTATTAACGCATGATAAATAATGTATTAAATGATATAATTAGAAAGGTTTATAGTCATTTCAATGATTGAGATTATGAGTCAATTGAAAATAGACCACCATGGAAAACCTGGTCTGGAGGTTAAGCGCTTGCGTGCGAGACTGATATATCTTAGGTTCGAATCTCGTGTGGCGGGATCGTAGATGCACACTGTTTAGGAGTTTTATACTAGGACGAAACGGTCATTCAGTGCTTCCAGGTTTTCCACGGTAGTCTAGCTTCATTTGACTCATGATCTCAACTATTGAAATTACATTTAGAAAAAAATTAAAATTCTGATAGAGCGAAAACAAAATATTTCATGAAAAGATCTAGAACAGTTATCGACTGAAAAATTAAAATATTTACTTTGTGCTCTAAATATAAATAATTGAGGAATCGGGTTGGCACCATTTATGATAACAATGATTAGATACAATTTCTCGAACAATTTCATGTGTCATACTTAAGCTAATCTCATTGTGACTGATGGCAATAAAAGGCAAATATGAAACGAACTGGGAGAATTTAATTCAGGCATTCAAATGTATGCAGATATTTATTTATTTATTTCAGCATATAAACATTGGCTTAAGTGGGCACCAAATATATATGCCCCACACAATAAAAATGAGGTTGTGAAAAGATAGAGAAAGGACAGTGAGTATAATAAAAAAGAACAAAAATGAGTAGAAATGAGTGTATAAGCGTGAAGTAATAATAAAATATAATAGTAGATATAATAATGATAATAATGGGAGAATCGGTTGAATTAAAATACAACCAGAAAAGAAGTTTACTCCATTTTTACGAAAAAGGAAACAGAAAGCTACAGCGGGATCGCCACTGGTTTGTATTCTAAGCCATATCACATAGTCTCAAGCCAGCGTGTTGCGCTGTCGAGAGGACCCCAAAGGGAATGTCGTAAAGGACCAACAGAAGCCAGTCCTGTACAGCTTCCTGTCGTACCACTACACAGTGTCATACACTGACTACCTCTCCGCTTTTTCCAACCAGTCCCACCGTCGGCACACCGTGGAATTCGCCGGGACAACACTTGTAATACATATCCAAGACATCAAAGTCAGTGTTCCAAAATAGTGGTATTAATTGGATTATCGTCACTGTGTCCGAACCTCCGCATTACTAACATGGTGTTTCCACTAGATGTCGGCAATCCTTCGGAGACGATGATGATCAAACACAGAGTTACCTAACGTCCACAACTCGGAAAACCCAGGTTTCATAAGCCTAGAGCAAAACTGCTCTCACCGATAGACTATAGATTTGACCTTTTACAGCCAGACGAACATCAAGAAGGCAACAAAGATGGAGCCAATCGGCTTATCATACCAATCTAAGACACAACTGTAACCTCGTTTAAGTGGTTGTATTTCGAGTGTGTGTTGCGTTATAATACGGTGAAAATAATGACAACAAACTTCCAACAATATGTTCTAGATCAGTAAAAATCTTACACAAGTATAAATCATCTGTTTACCGGATACGGAATTTGTAGAAAAAAATGAGTATAGACACAACAATATGTTTTATTATCTACGAGGAACAATACAGTGGACAAAATGATAATCCTATTCGTCTCAGTCTAACGAAGACACCAAACGCTGTAACGTTTTCGCTTAATTTAATCAATCTGATTAGGAGTTGAACTACGAAAATATTAGAATCTCAAAGAGGCAATATGTGAAAGAATTGTGAATTTTTGAAGCTTGAAAAACAGCTTATTTAGCAACCAATAGAATGTCAGAATAAGCCCAATCTATCAGCCTCCTAGAAAATGATAGATAACTGCAAGATAAGAGATATTATCAAAATAGATATATGCAGTGAGAGTACAATTATTATTAACAAACAAAACCTCATATCAATGGAACAAGCTGTTAAAGACATTTGAAAAATCCTAGCAGCTCACTTCCTTTATGGTAATCATATTGTTCGGAAAGACAATGAAAATGTAAGGAATAAATATTCCATCTTACATAATGCAACATTATTCAATTAGTATCATGTTTTAGATCGATGATGTGTTAATATTCAACTATTATATATTGACAAGTTAACAAGATATCTTGTTATATAGCTGACAGAATATGAGTATCGTAAAATTACAAACAAAACCTATTAACTCAGTTTTTCATAAAAGATGTGAAATATAACACCATAGTATATTGTTTTATGTAATTATATTTTATATTACAGCAAGGAGACAGTTATCTGCGAATTAACGAACTCAATCTTAAAGCATTTGCAAGCGATCTTCTTTATCCCAGCTCTGATAACGAGATATCATGTATATATTCGTTGAATAACCGTACACTAAGATAAGTTATAAGTCGTTGCATAGACACCTTTAAGATATTATTGATAGTCCGTCACTTGATAAAGGTTATCAGTTTGCAAGTCACAATCTTATCAAACTTCACAGTTATCATATAGTAAAAAAACGATATCTGAATTAATCCTAGTTGAGTAAATATTCACGAGTATAAACACGCATAATGAGTTAGAGTTCATCAAAGAATTAACGTAAATCTATATACTTGAAACCAACAAACTAACCTGACTTAACGCACTTGCTAACTTCCTTAAAGACTTCAAAATAGGTTGAGAATAATTCATAGAACATGGGGACGAATAAATCATTGTTAAAAGCTTAGACTTTAATAAAGATTGAGTATTATAGTCAAATCGATCTTTCAAACATTTTGTATCGATAGATTTACATTGTTCTGGTGTCCAAAATGCTCGTGACAGAAAAATACGAGGAAAAGCAAAACTATAAAGAAAAAAATTAGAGTGTGAGGGTACAAGTTAGTGAATATCAAGTGTGTTATATCAAAAATTACTAATCACTCATTTTAATAACAACAAAAAAGGTTAACGTACTAATCAAGGGGTAAGGAAGAACAAAATTTAAGGGTCAGATAATAGTCCAATTGACAGATGTGAAGAAAAACGACAAAACAACAAAGGTCATAATAATAGACTGAATAATAATTAAGAAAAATTGTAAAAGGTAATAATAATAAATGATTAGAGTTTAAAGTGCAAAATAGTAATAATAAAAGTGCATTGAAGATAGTGACCTAAATGATATTTTGAATATTTTCAATAACTGCCACCCATCAATCCAATTCACCTTAGAAGCAGAGACAAACCAAGGATTTCATTTTCTTGATATCCATTTAAAAAGAATGCCTGACGGTTTATTACAGAGATCGATATACAGAAAACCCACTTGGAATGGACAATACACGAACTTCCACAGTTGGGTTCCATTAATTAGAAAAAGGAATTTAATTCATTCTTTATCCTCAAGGATCAGGCGAATTTGTTCCAATGACACAATAGATGGGGAACTATTTTATCTTCGACAGACCCTCATCAAAAATGGTTATCCACCGAGATTCATCGATAGAAACTTGGTACCTAGACCTCATGACAAAGCATTGACAGTAGAGAAAAAAACTCTATTTATGAATATGGAATTTAAGGGAGGTACGGCTGCTGAAATCCTAAATAAACGGATTTCGAAATCATTGAATAAAACATTCCACGCAGCTAAGCTTCGAATCATCTTCTCTAGCCGACCTACCATTCTGGGGTGTGTTAAGGACAAACTTTCGCTTTGGGCCACTTCATTGTGTATTTATAAATTTACTTGCTCATATGGGGCATGTTACATAGGCCGCACAAAGCGATCATTATCCAAACGCATCTCGGAACATTATCCGGCTTGGCTCTTGAAAGGGGAGCGAAAAACAATCACGAGTTCTATACAGGAGCACTTAATCAACTGTGGACATATCGCTCCAAAAGACTTCGTTTAAAATAGTTTACAGAGTCAAAGGAACTGGATCGAAGGGGGTTCGAATCAATATTTTATGCACCGCAGAGGCATTGGCAATCCACAAACTAAAGCCTGAACTTTGCGTGCAGAAACGATTTGTCCAACCTCTCATCCTTCCCTGGCCCTAATTCCCTTAATGGGTATGTTTTTAGGTGTTGTTTTTTTTTCAATGCACTTTTATTATTACTATTTTGCACTTTAAACTCTAATCATTTATTATTATTACCTTTTACAATTTTTCTTAATTATTATTCAGTCTATTATTATGACCTTTGTTGTTTTGTCGTTTTTCTTCACATCTGTCAATTGGACTATTATCTGACCCTTAAATTTTGTTCTTCCTTACCCCTTGATTAGTACGTTAACCTCATTTGTTATTTATTGTCGAATCCATTTTTGTGATACAATCCATTCTATCCTTCTATAGACATACATTTTCCATATAACTATATATACGAATGTACAGCTTAAGTAAATGATTTCGTTGAAAAGAAAATTTTCTTCGCTGAATTCTTTTTTTCTTATTCAATGACACTATGGGTTATTTTAATTAACAACAAAAAAGAAGAAACTACTGAAATAGTTTGCTAACGACTCCTATTGATGCTTTGCACTATTAATGATTATTTATTTATTATTTATTTTAACACATAGATATTGGTACAAGGAGGCACCAAATAGATATGCGCCACATAAATCATTCGATTTGTGTGAGGGCTGTGATACTGCTCGGGTGCCCATACCGAAGCAGGTGGTTATCTTAGGGGGCCACACTCCCAGCCTTTGACCTAAAGGTCTGACCCACGAGGCAGTGGAGCATCGTAAAGAGATGCAGTCCCATGGATTCCGGTGACCAACGAATGGTTCATACGCCATACGTTCTTTTAGGATACTGGAGCCCATGTGCACCATTGGTTTGGAATTCGGTTAAAGCGCCGGACATTCGCGTTTCGTCCTCTCATTTTCGTTAAAAACACCCCAGCCACGAAAGGGCAGTGAGTAGGACTTCCCTGGCAGAGGCTGTGTACGCGTGGCCGTGTGAGAGCATTTCGAGAGGGAGGGCACGCCCACCCCACTCTCGGCCATACCAGGGCATTTGGGGGCACTATTAATGATTGCTTCCTTACAAAAAAATGTGTTCGATTCCAATCCAATGAACAAAAAAAAATGGAGTAACTCTGGATTCACTACTAAGATCTATGTTATTTGACATAATCAAATTTTAGAAAAGTAACAGTTTTTGTACTACCAAATGTCTGGTTAACACGAGCATATTGTCTTTAAATAACTAAATAAAAAAGAGTGTGGACAGTTATTGTAAAACTTTGGACAAATAAATACACCTAGAAATGAATTTACTGGAAAATCCTAAATCTCCAACTTGTACTTACATTTCTATTATTCAAACTTTTGTAAGATTTTAGGAATTAATGAATGAATTATAACAGCATTGAATGGGACTTTTCGTTGAACTAAACTTATTTCAGATGCAAAATCTAAATGACCATTAATAAAATCGAAATTAGATAAATATCTTTTTGAAGTTACTTTCCATTGAAACTACAATTTCACACATACTTTTAGAATCAAATAAATTGGAATGATTCATAGAAGAATCAGACACATTTCCATTTCGAAGATTATAAACTGTTAAGAATAAGGGTAGAAAGGAAATTATAAAACTTATATAGTTTTGGGACGAAACGCGCGTCCTGGATTCTACTGCTAGCCACTATCCATCTTTGCTTAGAAAGCTTGTGACTTAAGGCTATATCGAGGCGATCCGCACAGGATGCACATATGCCAACATGAGACTGGTCAATTGCAGTCCTAAATAACAATGGGAAGATACAAGTAAAACAACACCAAGTAAATTTAAAATTCACCCCAGTGCACAAGCAGGTGGCTACCAGAACTCAGTAGCTTAGTGGATAACGCGATGGCGTTTGAAGTGAACGGTACCGGGTTCGAGTGCCGGAGTGAATATCAACTTTAGAATGCAGGTACATCCAGCTGATGAGTCCGAAATAGGACGAAACGCGGGTCCTGAACTTCACTGCTAGCCACTATCCATCTTTGCTTAGAGAGCTTATGACTTAAGGCTATATCGAGGCAATCCACATATGCTAACATGAGACTAGTCAATTACAGTCTTTAATAACAATGGGAAGATACAAGTAAAACACCACCAAATGAACTTATACAGTTATTCTTGGTATAATTAGTTTTTATTCATTAAACAAGTAATTCATGGTAATATTATTTTATGTCAATTGTAAAGTTTCATATAATTCATGATATATTTTGCCGCTAATAGATTACAGTTAATCAATTATTAAATTGTTATTCTATCTGATATCATGAATGTTTAATTTTTTTCCTTATTGAGATTGATTCATAGTGAGCTATGATCTTGCATTTTCCATGAATAATCAAGTGAATGTTTACATTAAAACATATATATATGTAACGATAAGAAAAGTAGAGCCGAATCAAAGAATAGTATAAATAACAGTAAATAATTCTTTATCATGAATATAATCTCAATTATTATTCTAAAACCTGGAATCACTTTAAGTCACTATAATATTATTGTATTTTTATAGTTATTACTTACAAGATTGGTAAAATTAGTATTGTTCCTGGTAATGGAGCAAGAAGCATTACAGGCAAAATCCTCACCAAATCTTTAGGCACCTGTAACAAAAGGAGCGAAATAGATTCATTCTACATACATTCTGATACTAATTAAAATGTTATTTGATCGATTACAATTGAAAATGATAACTTCCATTTTCACCACTGCAAGGGTAGAAACAAGAAAGACTCAAAGTAATGTCCAGTTTGTCATAGTTACAATAAAATAAAACCTGTAGATTTAAAGGATATATTAAGCAAAAACACAGGATTTTATTCGTAAAAGTTTGTGTTTTCCCGTTGTTGACGTTAAGGACTGCAATGACTCAGTTAGTATATTTATATATGCGTACTTGACGGATTGCCTCGTTACTGCTATATAGCCACAAATTTTTATTAATAGAAAGAAAAGTGTAACCTGAATTTCACTGAAGCTACCATACAATTGTAAGAAAACCTACATAATTCACTAAGCTCTACGAAGAGTGAACATTATTAAGCCAATTGTATAGAATAAAGCTAGAAAATGAAACAAATTATACCTGACGTAGGACATACACCTGATGTCTACTAAGAGTCGGTAGGATTTCTATGATTGACTGAGAACGACAAGTAATATCTATCCATAACTGACTGAGGTCACCCAAATCTATCAACGTCGAGTGGACACCTGTAAACATATTCAAATATACAAGATTAATTGATGCATATTTTCTGTATATAATTTTTAAAAAAGTTACACTAAACTGTGATCATTTTATTAAATAAAAATGAATGCTCAATTGTAGTAATTTAGATTTGCATCAGAAACTCTGCCCTTATATGTACTAAGCTTTTTAAATGATGAATTGATAAAAAGTCTGAAATCCAATTCTCTACTTATCTAGATATTACAAAATAGCATTATTTTTTCAATAAAAACCGCAATAGTTTTAAGCTAATTTAACCCTCCCTCCCCATATTTTATCTAGAATATCTATAAAATAGTCATGATTAAATCATATTTCTATCATCAAAGTTGATCGAGGTCATTGTTGCTGCGCATATAGGCAACCAAACAATTTGAGATAAACCTTCATTAAAATTTTCCTCTAGCTTAACTTTAACTATCTTACGTTGAAATAAAATTACAAATATCAATAAATCTCTGAAGTTACTGCTTGATTGAGTATCATACAATAAGCTTATTTACAGTATGATACAAAATAGAGTAAACACATTTTAAGTGAAACTAACAGTAGTAAATGTTGATAAAGAATTGTCTTTATTGATCTTTATGTTGAACTAACCTATTTAGTGTTTTTATTTAATAATCTAAATGTTACTGGTTGAAATCGTGAGTCAATTTAACCTAAATCACCATGGAAAACCTGGAAGCACGACGGCCGTTTCGTCCTAGGTCCTGGGTTCGAGTCTCGCAGGGGGCGGGATCGTGGATGCGCACTGCTAAGGATTCCCATGCTAGGACGAAACGGCCGTCGTGCTTCCAGGTTTTTCATGGTGGTCTAGCTTCAATTGACTCATGATTTCAACCAGTGAAATTTCTAAAAAATCTCCACAAAACCCATTCTGATAATCTAAATGTGTCTTATTTACATATATAGGTAGACACGTACAAAACTTACAGACAATAACTTAACAGCTACTACAGTATTTCAAATGAATTAATCGTAGGTTCTTTTTTTACTAAAAGTAATACTTATTACGTACAATATTCAATCAGAATAATAACACTGACCACTAGATAGATTAATCTATTAAATAAGTTAATAAACTAAATAAACGTATTTCTTCCTTGACTAACTGTATCACCATTTAATGAAAAAGAATACACTGAGATATCCTAATTTAAAAACAAATATTAACTACTATACATGGATCGGCTGATCATTGTTATCTTTTCCTTAGTTTTCAGAGTCAGTATAGGCTTTGTTGAAGGTTTTGTGTAATTTAAAAAAATAAACAAATAAACAAAATTGTCACAATAGATTCAGCTAATAGATTAAACTTATCAAATAGCCAGTAGAATTATCATCAACTAGAAATAAAAACCATAAATTATTTTAATACAAACAAGAGAAATTTATCTAAAACTTACCATTTTTAAATAATTTATAATTATGAAATGATGAAGCATGTTTACCTTCCCATTTGTTTTCCAAATATGTCACTAATTTTGTATACTTCTTTACAATAGCCACAACAGTTTTAGTGATATACCTTTTAAATATAGACATTTATATTAATATTCTTGCACAAATAACAATATTGACCCAATCTTTTGGTTAAATTATTTAACACTAGAAAAAGTAGACTTGACGAGAAGGCTAAAAATTAAAAATAAAAAGAACACTGTAGAACACTTATCACCTAGTTGTTAATACAAGTAAAACTCATATTTTGAAACGGAATAATTAACTAACAATTATGTCCTTGGAATTTAGCAAGGTATCATTAGAAACAATTTTTTTTAAAATAAATAATGGGAAATTGTGCAGTAACGAATTCACCTACAATGTAGTCTAAACTGCTTGATTTAAATGACTATTCATTTTATTGTATAATAGTACTAAGAGAGTAAAATGGAAATAAAATTTGAGGAAGTTTTATTCATGACTATAAGACCATTAACTATCGATAAGAATTTTATAATATGAAACTATTGTCAATAAAATGCTTCTAACCACAGATACGGGCTAAGATTAGACTAGTAAACAGAATCATCACAGATACTTGACCGGTCATCTACGAGAATTTCATACAATTGGTTTCCTTTACGAAATTGAAGGAAGCCAGAACAATAAATGAGGCGGAATAATATGAATTCATTATATTTTGTGGTTTCTCATCAGCTGCTTACAACCATATGTATTAAAGTGTAGTATCTAGGTATGGTATAATAAGAAGCAATCGATATCGCATGCTTTGAAACGAAACAATTGCATGACTTTGTTGGGCGATCACGTAGTATCATTAGCTCTTACATCTAAATAAGGCCCAAGATCAAATACATGCTGAACTAGTTTATTTACCCACATAATAATAAAAAAACTTCAGTATTTATTCTTGAGCAGTGACTAAAGAATGTCCACTTTTGTTTTGATTTGCTTTCATGATATCGATGAACAAGTGAGCTAAGGTTTTGTAATAGATGGTAGTGAAATCCAGGATGTACATTTCATCAACAACGTACAAATCCAAACCCATGCGAACAAAGTACATCTCATTAATCAAGACAGTGGCTATCTGAGTTCAATAGCTCGGTGGATAACGCGTTTGTGTTTGAAGCGAAATGCATCGGGCTCGATTATTTACGTGGACGTCAACAGTGAAAAGCCGGTGCATCCGGCTGACGAGTCTCAGATACGACGAAACACGTCCTGGATCCCGTCGCTAGCCACCATCAGAACTTCGTTCGGAAATCCTCGTAAACTAGTGGTAATATCAGGGAAACCTTATCAGGGTCCACATACTCAAAAAGGTGATCATTCACGGTCCTTAATATCAACAACAAACAAATCCAAACCCTTACAAATTGGATGTAAACATTATACACATGATTCTCTATATGGTGTGATTTCTTACTTAAAATCGTGAATTTTTCTATACTACAGAACATTTAAAACGTGTCATAGTACCAAGGTAAATCAAACATGTTCGTCAAAACGGTAATTGAAGAACGAAAACCTCCGATTAGGCACAAGCAATCGCGAAGAACTTCTGAAGCAATTCCTTGTGATTAAAAGGATGATGAAAACTTTTGTGGCAATTGATAATTTAATTCCCGATACTGAAGTAATAATAAAATATCAGTGCAACTCCACATATAGCTACTAATCCTATTATGCAAAACAGTAACTGGTCCTTGAGCCCAGCCTTGACGTACTCTTTATTTGTGAGGGCTAATGTAATACTCGTTTAGCTGCCCAGTCAGAAATAGGCAGATGGGGTTTGAACCTATAGCTTAGTGGTTGATGATCGACTGCTTTAACAGTTACAGCAACGCATTTTGATAGTTAGGGATTCCAAGCTATAGTATATCCTAATACTAATTGAAAATAAGTTGCTTAGCATAGCTAATAACAAGCACTTTTGGCGTATTAAGCGCGTCCCCTAAACATTTATGTGATTTGTCGTAGTTTACTCATACGTAAAAAACTAAAACTCTGACGTATAACGTTGATTAAAGTGATCTGAAAAAGTTCTAAAGAGTAGCTTGAACAGGCGAATCTACGATGTCTGTAGATGCAGGTTTGAGCTGTGATCAAAATGCAGATTTCTACTTGAGAATTTGAGACATGAGATCGTATAAAAAGTTGAAATTGGAGGTTATTAGTGTAGATGCACCCAACATACTCCTTTTCCAAACATTGAGCAACTTTATGCTATATATGTCTATGTACGTATATTTTCATTTTGTCCATTTTAACATTTCGCTGATTTTCTTGAGTTTCTGTCTTCACATTGTCGAGAAGTGTAGCGATTCATGCTAGTGAGCTTTGTTTGATGCTCTATGCAATTGAACCCTAAATAGGTGATTGAATAAGTCGTGAAATAAATCCCTCGTACAATATGAGTTAGATCCACAGGGTTAGGTCTATTATGAGACCACAAAACGTACCCTACGTGATATACTGGGTTGTAATTACACTGAACACATTCACAACTGATCGATCACTGAGCAGTGACCAATGTTACATTGTTCTGGTTCTATTGTGCTGACCGAATCCTATCGACCAAGTTACAATGTGACCGACTAGTCTAAATGACTCGACATAATGTGCACTATATTTTGATGTTAGATGGTTGATACGAGTCGATAGAAAACCCTTGACTCTTTCGACTACTTATTAACTTATGTATTATTTCAACATAAACGTCGAACTAGAGCACTTTAAAATCCAAAAACCTATCAGCAAATCGAAGTTAAAACATTTTTCCCAAAAAGTCAAAATGAAAAATACATCACTACAACAAACTATATCAACAAATAGTTTTCATTCAATAAATACGATACGGTAAATATTCACTGTAATTTAAGAAATTTCAATTGACAAACAGTTATGATTCCCTGACAGTCCGAGGTGTAATTAAGACAATAAAACAAATTCTCATAAGTGAATTTAATTCATGATACAAGTGCTGTAGCACTTTTATATGGAATTCAAATCAAACGGTTGAAATTTGAAGTATTTACTGAGTTATATTATTTACTAATTAACTGATTATCATAATTCTGAAGGTCAACTATACTATCATTTTGAATTCACAAACTATTATAATAATATAAGAGAAATTCCACAAACTGTATAACCATTTAAATATTCAGTACGAATATTAATGTAATATATTTTATTGAGAAAAAAAAAGCAACTTTATACAAAACATTATCTATTTAACAAAATATTATGATGATAAATTTTTCATTGCTTTCTCGATAAGTAATCTTTTCTTATATTTTGCCGCACGTTTCTGATGTGATCTACTTTTTAAATGAGCTTCCCAACCATCGATTTGTGTAAATATTCTATTTGAACATATTGAACAAATGAATGGAGAATTGTTGTTATTATTTGATTCAGTAAAAGATTTAGGCAAAAGTAATGATTCTGCTTTAGGACAAGAATTTTCAGGACAAATATCAAGTAAACTTTTTAGATAATCATTGTTTTTCAAGTTTTCAAAGAGTAAATCATTTATTTTTATTAATTCATTGTAAACTAAGCGTACAGTTGGTGCAATAATTGTCTTATTCCAAATATCTGGAGATTCCGAGTTTAAAAAATCTGTCACATCTATACGATAAACAGGAATGCTACCTTCTACAGGACGTCGTAAAAATCGATTTCTAATCCAAGAAACCTGATAAAAATAAACATTAAGAACAGAATATCATACTTCATATTTAAGCAATATTAAATTTTGTAACAAAAACTGGTAAGCAGAAAATAGAACCTAATATACGTAGTAAATTTATGCATATTTTTACAGTACACAGAGGAATCTACCAAGGAAATAAAATTACTAAAAATAAACAAAAAAATATTACAGGTAAACATGAAGTAATAAAACGTGCTAAACTTGGAAAAAGATAGACTACACCAGTCGTTTACGGTTACCAATCGAAACGGGTTAATCTTGAAATATACTGTATCAGATAACGGATAGTTAGAAACAATCAACAAAACACTCATTTTTATTATTTCAATAAATGGATAGTCGGTGATGTGATTACTTCTTCACAATACGATTTTAAATCATTTAAACTCTAGTAATTTCCACCTTTGTATATGCCCCCCTATAGACTTAATGAATAGACAAATTGTTTAAAGCACATTATTATGATTTTTTACCTTACACTAATTGATAATACACGTAAGTAAAAATAGCAACTAAACATTCGTGAAGTGTATATCATAAATTTTAAGTTAGATATACCATAAAAATACTAGACAGTTTATCTTGACTCCTTGCTTGAAATTCTATGCATAACCACAACGTAATAAAAGAAAATATGGATTAAAATAACTTTTAGTTCACAGAAATTTCAGACAACCATTCTTAATTCATGGTATAAAAGTCGTCTTATAGAATGGATGGATCCTAACTAACAGTAGAAGTTAGGAAGCACGTTTTGTTCTACTTTCGTTTCGTCAGCTGGATATATCTATATCATACTGATGGTGTTCACGCTGAGACTCGAACCTATTGCCTTTTGCTCCAAACGCCAACGCACTATCCACTGTGCTACTGAGTATAAATAGCTAATGACTTGTTCAATGTACATTATGTTTTCATTATTATTATTCAGAATGTTGTTGATATTCAGAACCATCATTTTTACATGGTATGGACACCTAAGTTTTTATAAACGGAAAATTGCTTATTAATACATCTTTTTAATGTTTTTAGTTTTTCAAATTAATTTTTATCGCCTTCATACTTTTAATTTATTTTACGTCTTTCTCATACTCGTCAAGTGGATAATTACTTTTCATCCTTATCTAAATTCTTGATCGTCATGAAACTTTGACAACCAAGATTAGGTAATCATTTTATTCTTTGCTAAACTACTTTATTCACTAATTAACTATAAATACAATTGTACAGTTTGAGTAAATGATATTGTAGAAAAGAAAACCTTCTTTGTTGAACTGTCTTTTTAATGACACCATGGGTTACTTACGTTAATGGATAACTGAGCTTTACTCATTTCATGTTTACTAATTATTAGTGTTTCCTCATTACGTAAGTACTTATGAACAGCTCTTTGATCTTTTGTTACTATCGTTGTTGTAGAATGCTCTACTATAGAAGATATATATTTGCAATATTTTTATTTAGTCTCACATCCTTACGATGATACGCTTATACACACTTAAAAATTTCAATTAAATTTATTTGTGTATTTTGTAACGGATAGCTGCTCGTTAATCTTAGTGCTTCATATACAAACTGACCGTACAGTCCTTATTATGAAGTAGTTACAATAATTCCTTTCCAACGCACAACTCCAATAACCAGGAAAAAACACACAGAGAGGGTAGAATGAATGATTTAATAATTACCATCCAAACAGATGTGGAAATGAACGAGCTGCTGTCAGCTAAGTATGTAGAAGTATGTGGAAGGATACAATGATTCAGTAATTAATTGGAATAAATGTGTGGCCAGATATGTAGATGCAGTAAAATATGTTTGTTTATAAGCACGTATGTGTGGAGGCCAATCCCAGTGAAATAATTTTAAAACAAACAAATTATTAGGGATTAAAATTCTACAGTTTATCTACCATATAAGCTAGTTTAAAGGATTAAGTAATTTAAATGTATAGATAACGTTTTAGTAATTTTCGACTTGTTTTGTAATTAGAATTTTTTAATAATACATGTTGTAAAAAGAAAAAGAGAACCTAACGAAATAACGGATTCATGTTAATCAGTTCAAACATCATTCTTGTTCTCATCAAGATGATTAAGGAAGCTATGTACATTGAAATGATGCAATAATTATACAAATATTACAAAATCTGTATGTTAAGGTAAGTCAATAAAATATGGAATTCTGTAAATGATTAGTGTGTGATATTTATTTTTCAGTTCACTTTGATTTATTGTATAACTATGCTAAATTTTGCACACTAAATATACAGTATACTAAATTTTGTAAAGTAGTATTGTAGGTGAACGAAAAATAATAAAAGAATTAAAGCCACAAAGGCATCTACGAAAATTACTAATTGACATAAACTTGGTTCAAACTATGAACAGACTACTGAGTTTGTAAAAATTAAAACCAACCAAGTCAACAATGCAAACACGATTAGCTATAACCCTTCAACAGAGAAATACCAACAAAAAAAGAAATATAATCACCTGACGACGTGCATACTGTCGAGTGGCTGTTTTAACATTCTCTGTTGCTTGCTTCAGAAGAGTATTTGCCTCAATAGTGTCACGTTCTTCTGGTAATAAAGCTAAATAATCTGAAAATTCTTTGAGTCCGATACTTTGAAGTAGGCCACGACGAGTCATAGGATCTGAGATTGACTCCAACTCTTGAGCAAACAATGCCCTTAATTTTTCCACTCGAGTTCGTTTTGCAATGTCTGAATTTAGCGAAATGAAATGAAGAATTATAAGCAGAAAGATGTTTAAAACCGAAAGTGGTAGGGTTCGCAATAGCCATAATGATTGTACGCAGCTTCAATACTACTCATTTACCCATGTTTACCAGCACATGAATATATATCGATCATCACATCAGTTTTGATGCTTGTTTATGTAGTAAGTTGATTAACCGGGACTGACCTATATAAACTTTTAATCTTAGCCTAACTTGTGATGACTTAACAGTTCGGAGTTACCTATGTATTCATTTCATTGATCGTGACAATAGATAGCTAGTCCGGTATATTACTACAAGTCGGAATAACCAAAAAGATGAACTATATAGCCTAGCAATAGATAAGTTCCTAACTTATGGTGTGAGGCAACTAGCCAGAAGTTATAAGATTAGAAATTACATATTTATATGCATCTCTTCTGTTGAATAGGAAAACATTTCAGTTCTACTTAAACTGGCTGCATAAAAGATCAACTAACTATTCAATAATTCTGAAATCATAGAGATTTACAGCTTAAGTTGATGCTTTTAAAAACGCCGTCTTCTCCAAACTAGAGGAGCATGAGCTTTCACTGTCATTCTACACAGCATGCCAAAGCATTTACTCGTGAAGAATTTCATTAGGTTGAAGAAGTGATGTGCTGACTTCCACTCGAATGCCGATGGATGAAAATAATCAGTTAGAAGTGTTAGGGTTGTACTTAACTTAGGGTTGTACTTCACTAACATACAAATGCCCCAAATGCCCTGTTACGGTCAAGGGTGGGGAAAGTCTGCCCCCCTCTCAAAATGCTCTAACATGGCCACGTGTATACAGACACTGACAAGGAAGTCCTACTCACTGTCTTCTCGTCGCAGGGGTGTTGTTTACGAAATTGAGAGGACGAAAAGCGAATGTCCGGTACTTTAACCGGGTTGGTGGATATGAAGGATCGATGTACGGGAGTTGAAAAACCCTGATTCCGAACCGATCGTGAACATGGGCTCCAGGATCCTGAGGGAGAAAATGATGTGTGAACCTATTGTTGATCACCAGCTACCACGTGACTGCATCTCCTTACGTTACTCCACTGCTTTGTGGATCAAACCTTTAGATCGAAGTCTCCGGGTGTGGCCCCCTAAGAGAACCACCTGCCTCGGTTTGGGCAACCGGGCAGTATTACAGCCCTCACACAAACCAATGAAAGCTGTTACTAGCCTCACTGTTATTTTGTGGTGCATATGTACTTAGTGCCCCCTTGTACCAATGTTTATGTGCACAAATATATAAATAAATAGCATACAGATACTTTGTACTGAACATTAATCAGAAACCTCCTGATGCATGCATTACCCTTGTTATTAAGGACACATAAGGTCATAATTTGACAATATTAAGGTTCGAACGTTTTCAGTCAAAAGATAAAAAAATTCAAGCAAACTTGCGGTTCAGAGTAGCTTATTCTAGTCGATTAGCCGGTACAACACTACATCAATAATTCAGAAGCAAAAAGTTTGAACCCATACTAAATTCATGCTAGCTTTCCCCCCCTCTCTCACTCCCGAAAGTGTGTAGTATTTAGCTCTCGATCAAAAGCATTCAACGTAATCTAATCCTACTTAAGTCATTTCACATTAATTACTTATCAATAAAGCTGGCAATGGTAATCTATTTAGAGTAGTTGAGAAAATATCTCCGGAACAGTAATGGTTTTTATTTAATAAAAACACTCAAAAAAGCGAAATACTGTAGAAAAAACTAAACCTAATATAACAGTGGTAAATATACTTGGTTAACGGATATATAACATCTTTTGAGTCGACGTCTTAAAATGTCACCCAGTTCCAGATAAAGGGTTTTTCTACCGACTGAGTCACAGTTTCTTCTTTTTTAATACCTTCTGATAGGAATTTTCTGATAAGATTATCTTACCTACTCAGGCCTGTTACCCCCCGTGGAGAGACATAGACCTCCCACCAACATCCTCCATTCAACTCTATCCTGAACAATCCTTTCCAGTTGTTATTCATCTTTTTTATGTCTGCTTCCGATTCCCGACGCAATGTATTCTTCGGCCTTCTTCTTTTCCGTTTCCGTTCGAAATTTCAAGTTAACAATTACCTCGAGATGCAGTTTGATAGTTTCTGTAATGTATGTCCTATCCACTCCCAGCATGTTTCCTAATTTTCT